TACCTATTAAGGGTTGAATTTAAGCCACCCATATTAACAATGAAAAAAACACCCAATTAAAAAATATTTTTTTGATTTATAATGTGATTTTTATCATGTTTAAAACAAATGATTAACTAAAAACAAACTTAATATAGTGCAATTACATTTTTCATGGTAATAAAGCCTTAAAACTCTAAAATTTTGATTTAATTTTTTATCATTTTAACTTATTATGAATCAAACCAATATCAACAATTGACTGAATGGAAACCTCATCAAGTTCTATTTTTTCCTGGATTAAAAAAACAAAAAAGATATAACTAAAACCCATCTGATTACAACAAAAGTTGTCATTTAAATATTAATATTAAATAAAAAAGTGTAAATTATGTAAAAATCTCCCAAAATTCTATATTATTAAATTGCTTAATTTTGAAGAGATTTCTTGTTATTTTTCCCCTTCTTCTGTGTTAAATATTGGAAATAGACAAGTAAATGTAACATTAAATGATTTATTTTCAATATTTGAAGGTATATTCATACAAAGGTGAATGACTTTTACAAAGATCTAGTAACTATTGTCAACATCCCTCATTTCGCAAACCAAATTTCAGAATCTTGTTCTTTCAATTGTATTGACGAACCTTCGTCAATATTTACTTTTAAATATTGATACCAAGAAAACAAAGAACTTTGAATATTTGATTTTAAATAAATTAAAACTTAAAAATAAACAGAGTGTATAATCTTACGAAATTTATCATAGAATACAAATCAACATTGACTATAGATTCATATTTTTTTTTCATTTATTTCTAATTTAAACTAATAAAAAAACTTCTCAAGCTGTAAAATGTATTTATAGGAAATCCATAACCGCGCGGAATGCAAAGTCCGAGTATATTTTAGATTTTTTTTTTCATGTTTTCACTCTTTCCGTCCTAAGAAGGATCTTTTCTAAAGATCCATTGTTGGTTTGGCCAAGTCCATGTAGCACAGTCGAACGATAAGGTCCTAATATATATTTGAAACAAACTACTCCCAAAAATTCCTGATCGCCCAGATTCGATCTCGGGTCCTCCAGAGCGTAGGCTGACTTTTAAAATTTCAGAAATATATATTTATATATAGACTTAATATATACAGATTTTATATTCTACATTTCATTGAATATTTTATTATTTCGTCTGTGATTTATATCTACTTTAGAGAGAATTTATTTGAAGTTACGTTTATATGACATTATATTTATATTAGTATTTTAAAAATATAATCTCACTTTCAATGAAATATATAATTTAATCTATGTCTCAAATTCATATAATAGATATTCTCTTTGTCTCTTCGTATGCTTATCTCTATTCAAGATGTTCGAAAACTAATAAAGCTAAATAACTTTTAATGTCGTCTATTTTAAGAATTTGAAAGCAATTTCTCAATATAACAATAATATTTCTTTAAAACTCCATAAGAATAATGTCTAACTGTACTCTCTACTTATACTGTCTAACGTCCGTAAGTCTAACTGAACTNATAATTTTTTCAGAACGTATAATATAGTATTTATAATATATTTATAAGAAATTGGGTGGGAAAGATGTTTTTAATATTTTATAATTTTGGAACTTCCATGTTTTTCTTTTGACATTTTTGTAGTTTATAACTATAATATATTATAGTAGTTAACATTTTATTTTATATTATTTTGTAATTATTCTAAATATTTTATTTTAAAATGAATAAATTAAATTTAAAATTTATTACTATAAAAACTTTAATAAAAGCATTTAATTTTAGAAGATAACAGTTTTATTGTAAAATACTGATTTATAAATTTTTTCTTAACCAATTGTAAATATAATTCAGTGCAATAGAACCTTCAATAACAACCAACTCCCAACAGAAACTTTTTTTAACAAAAATGTATATAAAAAAACCTTTAAACGACCTCCAATTTTTATGTTCCATTAGTGTCCTTTATTTAGAGGTTTCACTGTATTTTAGTTTTTATATAAATTGACACTATTCTTTTATAATCAAGAAATATATACGGTAATTGTTTTTACAGTTTATGCAGTATATTCTCAGTAATCTTATCGTGTGTATGCTATATATATATATATATGATGAAAATAATAAATAAATTATTTTTAATATTGGTTATTCCTTTTTATATTGCTTTTATTGCAATTAATTTAAATATAAAAGATTATTGTTTCATAATAAACTACTTTTAATGATTTTCTTAATTAAACTATCTTTAAATTTGCAATATAAAATATCAAAATTTAATCTAGTTATAGCCATTTTTCTATACTCATGTTTTTATATTATAGTAAATTTCTAAATCTTTTAAAAAATTAAATATATTTTTATATACTCATCTTTGTGTATTGATGTAGTAATATTGAATTTTCATTACTAATTTTTCGATTTTTTGTTGCTCTAATTTCAATTTCAATGACCTATTTTTAGTCGTAATGGGTCAAAGTATATTTTATATCATTGCTCGACTATAAATAAACATATTTTTCATTTACGTAGATTAATTCATTTTGAAATCTGTTTTTTTCTAAGCTTCATTTTAAGGATTTATCACACTTTTACGAACTGTTTTTTATAATCATTACAGTTACTATTTTCAATTTAAATACTGCTAAATGCAGTATTTGTATCCATTCTTTTTAGTTAATTATAATTTATACACAATTATCGATAATAAGGATCAAATTACCGTGTGCCAAATTGTCATATTTGACAAATGATGGCGAAGGTCAATTCGTTATGTATTAATTTTCTGTACACCAATTTGTTGCCATGTTAATATCCATGCTCCTAATTAATTTTTCTAAATATTTATTATAACGTGCATTAAATTATTTAAATTTATCGTATGTGTAATGAAAAACATATCTGTTTACTTCATTATAGCTGTTAAAAGATCGAATTCAACAAAAATTTTATGTTATTATTTATGGCAAATGATAAAAATATTTATTCTATTATCTAGTTTTTCCTGTATAAAAAAATAATAAAAGAATCATTCGGTGTTGATCTTTTTAGTTTACGTGTATAAAACATGGTCTTTTAATTAGAAGTTTGCCATGTGTTACTCCTGGAATAATTTGATTTCGTTAGAGGTGAAGCAAGTACTTAAAGGTTATATGGCTGGCCTCAGATTTACCTATTAAGGGTAAGTCTAACCTGTAATAAAATGGCATTGCGGATTAGACTAACTGTTAATAGATATGTAGAGATGAGATGGAAATCGACGTCGTGATCCCAAATTACCTATTAAAAATTACGACTCCCCATTCCAATAATATCTATAGAAGTTAGTTGCAAAACTTTTTTACACATATTATATAAAATTAGTATTTGAATCTAAACAGTAGATTACTAATAAAATTTAATTAAATTCATAAATTTATTTTTATTTTTTCCAAATTAATATAAAAAATATTTTTTTTTTCTCAGTAAAATTGTTATATCTACCTTGAGAAATCAAACTAATTTTTGGTATTATTATGAAACCAAAATAATTTTATTACGAATTGAATAGAAATAGCTACGTATTGAAATAATTAATTAATAGATTATTTTGGTTGTTGATTTATTTCTAATCTAAAACCAATTTAGAATTAAGAGGATCACTTGAAAGGAAGTGAATCGTTTTGACTGAAGCTTTACTGTCTTCTAAATCATTTATACAACGATTTATTTAATAGGATAATAAGATGTGGCTTTAAACTGAATTTTAGTAAATAAATCCTAATTAATAAACTTTTTTTTTTATATGTCTTATCTCTCGTGCGGACGAAGTTTTTATTATTAATTTTTAAAGATTTCTGTATTATTACTTTTAGATATAACTAAATATTTTAAAATATAAGTAAATATTACTTTAAAATATTATAAATGCTTAATAGCATTATATACTGTAAAAAGAAATAATTTGATATTTTACTTGCTTTTATTATTTTTGTATAACAAACATTACAAATACGTTTTTTATCAAACAATTATTACATGATATAAAGATTTTGAATTATCAAACACTAAACAATGAGCAATTTGAAATTAGAACCTTTTTCTACTTTTTCTTTTTTTTTTTTTTGGTATTTTATTCCTCCAAAGAGACATATATCACAACCAACACCGCTTGAGCAAGAACTCACAGATTTTCAATTGATTTACCAATAAATTGCTGGTGCTGCAGCGAAACCAAACGCATAAGGATGAGGTACAACTGGTGGAAGAGGAAAACCTGCATAATATGGGAATGGTAAAGGTGCAGCTTTCAGATCGACGGTAATTGGTTTAGGTGCTAAAGCTGCAAGTTTTTCCGCTTCTTCGGCTGTCTTTTTATCAACACTAATATCTCCTTCAGCTTGAAAACCGATGCCTGCTCCAGCTTTATAACTTACTACGCGAATGTTACCATTGGGATCTTTGTAACTGTACTTTCCACTAATGATTCCATCACTTCCTCCGCTTTCTTCTCTCTTGTGGCCACCGTCATCTCCTGTGCTATAAGCAAAGTTATACTTTCCATCACCTATCTCCATGGTCTGTTCGGCTACGCAACTAGCCACTAAGAAAATGAGGATGCACTGTCAAAAAAAAATTAATTGAATTAATTCATTCTATTATAACGATCAGAAAGCAAATCGGTAAATACATAAAAAGTTATACAAGGTTATATAATTATTAATTTAAACGGGTTTTAAAACACCTCGTTATCTTTCGATATGTGCTCCATAACTGATTATAAATCAGTTATGGATACAATATAACAATTTATCAATAGTAAGGACTAAAAATTAAGTTAAATATTAAATAAAAAAATATATTTAATAGTAATTTTAAAAAGATCAATAAACAATTATTTAACTTAAGAAAATAAATTTATATATAATATAAATTAAATTTTAAACTAAAATATTATATTGAATATCAAAAGAAGTAAAATTATATTTTCTTTTTCTTTATTGCACTACAATTAAATATAGTTAAAAATAAGTTTATTTAATCAGAAGAAATGTAGACATTTAACATCCAAAATATCAATTATTTTTAAACATTTTACTATATTAATAAACTATTTCTTAAAAATATAAAGTTAGAAGTTTATGTAACTACTTACAGGTACGTATTTCATGTTTTCCCGAAGTGCGATCTTTCAAGCGATCTGGACCATCATTACAACGATGAACCTTATATACTTTTACCCATCCTGGAATTTCATCATAAAAAATTTTAATGTATTTTTTATTTATTCGATTTTCCAATCTTCGTCCTAAATCAAACCAGATTTACTTAAAGAATACCAAAGAAGGACGATCATTGATCTTCAAGGTTTTAATGAATATTCAATTGAAAAGTACAATCATTGATGGGATGATGGTCAGAAAGATGAGGTGTGCCAACAAAATTCAGGTCAAAAGATGTAAACAAGGTTACATTATCACCACACCCAATTAAAAATAGTAAGGAATGCGAATTAAGAATATGCGTAACATAATAATTACAAGTGAAAATCCTTTTTCTAATTTATTAAGATTAATAAGAGATGATGCTTATTTTTTTTAGTTAGTTGGTATAGCCTACTTAATGAAATGCACTTAGAAGATAATTCGAAAAACATGCTTTTAGTCATTTTGAGCGTGAAAGGTTGGAGGTGGTTTGATCTAATAAAAGAAATAGGAAGTAGGAGTTGAAAGTTACAGCTACTCATTAATCCAAAAATAGATTTTTAGCTAATTATGATCATTAAAAATCAATATTTTAACTGCTTTTCTTACATTTATTCATTTCTATTCAAAACTATATATTATTATATATAGTTTTTATGAAAATTTTGGATAAAATATAAGAATTTAAAAAATTATACAATTTATTTTTTATGATTAATAAATGTTTTAATTATAACTTTATAAAATAAAAAAATATTCTGATTTATTTCAAAAATGTTGTAATTAAGTAATCCGAAAAGAACAATGAAATAATTATTTTATTATATCTTTTTTTTCTTGTTATTTTGGATTTATTCTAATAAAATGAGATTAAGTTTTATAAGACAATTATTTCATTTTCGAAATCGTAATTAATTAAGAATGTTTTAATGTATTAAAATTATAATACCATTCTTTTTACCTATATAATGATTACCAAGCTTCTTATAAATTTAAAATAATTTTAATAAAATAACATTTTTGTATTTTTTTAAAATTCGATATAAATTAATTTAAATATATAATTTATAATCTGTTTAAAATTTGTTTAGTATATGAATAATTATTATAAATATGTCTTATTCAATATTTGAATTCTTAACTTCAATATTTGCATAGTTATAAATTCTTACCGTACACAAATTTTAGTATTAATGTAAAGTATTTTTATATTACATATAAAGAAAATACGATATTCACGGAATTTCTAGTCATTCAGTAAGAATCATCCTCTGTTAAACATGATATTAAAACATGTGTTTTATATAAATAATTTTAATGTATTATACTTTATTATTATAAAATATAATTTATTTCGTTTTTTTCAAAATTTATACTGTATATATGATTAATTTTGAAAGTCATTAATTACAGATTAGAAGAAATTACCTTGATTTATTACTTTTGTAATTTATTAATCTTATTTACCTTCAGAATAAGTGGAAACACTAGAACACTTTATGTTTGTATGCCTCGTGAGTACGTAATTTTGAGGGTGTGTGCAGTTTTTTATGTGGAAAAAAACCTTATTTAAACACAAACAATTTTAGAACCATTTTTTTTTTTCTCGAAAGATACTTGCAATTCTATCTAGCACAGCGGAGTTATTGCGACTATATACTATATTTCAATAATTTAATAGGTATATTCGTAAGGTAAATAACGAATGTGGCACTTATATATTTTTAAAATTTATTTGACAATAAAAATATATTACTTATTTTATATATTTTTCATTAATTACTTGTTGGTTCTTAACTCTTTGAATTTTTTAAACTTCTTCTCTCAATTATCTATTCAATTAAGTAAGAGCAGATAATTAAATTGATAATATATTTTACTAATTATATAAATAATAAATGTTCTTATATTTAGATATTTTATATACAAGTTAACAACAATGCATTAATTGTTCTATATTAAACAATAAAATTCTTATGCTGTTGTGCACTCTTATTATATTTACAAGTAATTAAATAACTCATTAAAGTAATGATTATAGTAATATAATATCATTATAGTAATACAATAATAAGATTTTCTAGAAAATTTAATTTAAAATTCATTTAGATTTTATAAGTTTAGAATAATTAATAATTGAATGTTTAAAGGCAAGAAATTTTTCTGATGAAATATGTCCTTGACACTTTCTGTATTATCTTATTTGAATTTGATGAATTAGAAAAGGAAAAAATACGTATAATAAAAAAAATAAATACATTTTCAAATGTCTATTTAAAAACGGAATAAAATCAGGGTTATTCGTTTTAAAACAAATGTTTAAAACAAATATTTAAAACAATAAACTATTTAAACAACCGCCTAAAATACGTGTTTAAACTTTTTTAAACGAGAAAAAAACACGTTTTGAACAGTGCAGAATTAAGCTAATTTTGGTTGGAATAAACCTTTTTCTTTTTGGTGAGTACACTTGTACAACAAAGTATTATGGAACCCAATATATTGAACCCTGCTTGCTGAACCCTGAATACTGTATCATTATATACTATATCAAGAATACCCAGATATTTTCTACGTAATAAACTAATAAATACGTAAATATTAAAACTTAATATTAAGCACAATTCACGTATTTCACACGTAAACACACATTTTATTAGAAAATAAAAACTGATAATAATTGATTAATGAACACTTAATACGAAAGAAACTACATTTACGAATACGATTAGACTAACGAGAAAACGTAGTACAATGTTTTTTTCATATTTTTAAACACTATATTATTAGTTTTTCGTATGAACATTGAACAAACAATACAACATTGTAGAGAAAAGTAATGAAAATGAAACATATAAAATCATTGCACTTAAATGTTTTAATTATAGTATTTACTTGAGAAACTCAGTTTAACTTTTACAATCAAAATCCAAAACATAATATTAACATAAACATAATAAAATTTAGATTTTCTAAATAAAAGCAAATGTATAAAGTTGTAACTGGCTTTAAACGGCTAGTTCAGGCTCCTGACGTACAGTACAGTACACTTATTTGTTTAAACACCTCCATTGGATTGCTGGCTTTTTCGGTTCCAAACCTGTTTATTAGTTTAGATTAAGACGAAAAAGCCTGGCTAATTCTGGCTGATGAAGCAGCAACTTGGTAAAGAGGGCTACGGTTTCTAGATTCGAGCTGCGCAAGGAAAGCCACCAGTTCAGAGGCTTGATGGATATACCCCGTAGTAAGGACTTTCCCACAGAGATGAAATTTGAAACGCCTTGCTCTTTCTTGATAGTTAATAATATCGGAAATGGATTGGGATAAAAACTACTGGTGTATTCCATAGCCTCATCAATCTCCCCGCTGAATAGTTTATGCCGGTAAACCGTGGATCGAGCAGATTTACTATTTCCATGTAGAAATTGTCGTCAGATGATTTTCGGGATTAAATTTCTGCGTGTGAATTTTTATCTGTTGAGCTAAAGAAACGAATTCCGCTTTCAAGATTCTACACCTAATCCGCGAAGTTTTCTTCCTTTCTGAAGTAATGTAATATAAATGTTCGACTCTTCGGGTTTTGAATCGAGAATAATAATCGAAAGAAACATTTGCGTCTTTTCGCCTCAGTTTAAAATTTAAAACTGAAAAGTGGCATAAACATTTAGTTTTTCCAATTGCGAATAAGTTTGGCTTTAAAAATTGAGATGCGTTTTTTCACTTCGTTCTCTTTTCTGACTATATAATAGTTCACAAGTGAGAAATTATTCTAAGTTATTTTCCTATGGCATATTAATACCAGAGTGACGTTACATTGGTAGTAGGTAGTCATTACTTAAGTAATGACTACCTACTACCAATTATACAATGATAGTAGGTAGTCATTACTTAAGTAATGACTACCTACTATCATTTATTATTTCCCGGTTTAGCAAAAATCGTAAAAAAAATACACACAAATTTAAGTTTAAACACTTTAAAAGTGTTTAAAACTAAAGAAAAAGATGTTTTTTTTAACAAAAATCGTTTTCAAAATTTTTTAAACTGGTTTTTGCAACCTTGAATAAAAATATTTATATAAAAAGTAGTCATTACTTAAGTAATGACTACCTACTATCATTTATTATTTCCCGGTTTAGCAAAAATCGTAAAAAAAATACACACAAATTTAAGTTTAAACACTTTAAAAGTGTTTAAAACTAAAGAAAAAGATGTTTTTTTTAACAAAAATCGTTTCAAAATTTTTTAAACTGGTTTTTGCAACACTGAATAAAAATATTTATATAAAAATTAGTATTTTGTAACTTATACACAACTGAATTTATTGATATTTAAGTTATATTTTATTTACACTATTAATAAATGTAATCAAATCATTATAAAAATTGTATAAAAATAATTCAGTTAAATTTATAAATATAAATTCAACAAACTTAGGCCTATATAATAAATTTAATTTATAAATCCAAAATTTTAAATAATGCATATAAATTTATTTTTAATCTTTAATATATTTACTTTTTAAAAGCATTTTAAAATCTTATATTAGATTAACTTATTCATTAAGTTGCATAATAATAATAATACAGAATCATGTTCTTTTTTTTAAATAAAACGTTGATAAAAGTATAAAATGATCTGCATTATGCCATAGATTTATTTTTAATGACTTGTTTATTATATAAACTATTATATAAATATTTAATTGTATTCATCATCGAAAATATTGATTTTTATTGACCTTGCTTTACTTTCTTTTCATGTTGTTTGTGTTAATCAATATTTTCCTATAATTGTTTATAAATATTCTTAATTGTATTATTTAAAAGTCCTGTGAAGTCTATTTGAAGCATGCTATTTAAGTGTCTAATTTTAAAAATATATTTTTTTCCAGTTTATTATTTTCTTTTGCACTTATAATTTCTTTGAACTAATAAATTAACATTAATCTCTATTCTCACATATATTTAAACAGGTTTAATTATTTTTATAAAGATCTGAAATACCTATATTTATATATATATATTTTCTTTTTCTATAAAATCTCATAGAAGATTAACTTCATAATCCTGATTGAAGGTATGAGCTATTTTTAGTTTCGAAGCTTCCTCTTTCTACTAACCCCATTTCTAGACGAAGTACCACATAAAAATTGATTTTTTATATATATATAGATGTAAATTATTCTCCTTTTCGAGTTAATACAGTAATTCATAATGTAATTAATTTCATTAAATAAATCTATATAAGTTAAATTAAAAAAAAATTAATTTCAATATAAATTGACTAGAAAAATGCTATTAAATGTAGATTGATGGCAAATATTTATCTTGTTTCGTTGATTTAAACAGATTTATAAGTGATCACATGTACAATTTTTGCGTATAAATCCTCATCCTCATCCACAAAGAGCTTCATCTCCCTTTTCATCATTACAAATCAACTTATTTTTTAATCTCTTATAAATTTTTATTGACATAGGTATGTCATTAGATATCATAGCTTTAAGGTATATTATATTNTTTAAAATATAAATATTAATACAGAAATATCATGAAAAAAATTGTTAAAAATCGAATTTTATAAATTTTAAGTGAAGTAATTCCGAATCGATAAAGTAAACAGAAATATTTTAAAGTAAAACCGAAGAAAAGTTTTTGAAAATTCTTATTACTTTAACAAAAAACAAAAAAAAAATTATTCAAAAATTTCATTTCTCTTTGCAATGTCGATGTTAAAAGGAATTTACTTTTTACACCAACCGCTAGATGGCAACAGATATATAAATATTCGTTTCTCATATATTAAATTTGTTTTTTATTATTTATAACATTACTTCTGTAATATAAAAAAAAAATCCTTTTAATGAAAATATATGTGAGAGATTTTTTAAATTTATTTATAAATATAAAATGTATAGAAACAAAATTTCATTTATTTCTACAATATTAAAAACAAAAAGAAAAAAAAATGTTAAAATCTTTGAATATTTTTAAGTTTTAATGATATTTATAATTTAAAGTAGATTTTTTTATATTGTATAAATTTACAATTTTTTTTTACATTTTATATATTATAAAGTATATTATACACGTATTGAAAGCGGTTTTAATAAGTTATCGAGCTTAAAAAGGGTGGTTAAAATACAGAAATTTGTTAAAATTTACCTTGTTGATGATCGATTAGTGAAGCTGTATAAATCTTTATGTCGTTGTATGAAAGGTAAAAGAGATAATTACATATTAGCTTTCGTTTATCGGTCGAAGCTTAACATAATAGGTATTAAGGGATATAATATGATTCATTTGGAAATATGTAGCTAGGGTATCAAATGTTGTAGACTATTAACTTCATCTGTAGAAAAAAATATATATAGAAAAATTGCAGTACTTGAGAAAATAGATCGGTTAGCTCCGTCCCAATCGATACTTCTATTACGCTATACAAATAGTTGTGTCGATCAGTGTTGCAGTGCTTAAGAAAAATCTATTGCTGCTGACTTTTTCTTCAAATAAATTGCATTTTTACCTTTCGCCTTAACTTAAATTGACGGGGTTATTATTTGAAATCGGTTTGCTTGTCTTTTAGTTGATTGCATACGAAAAATGCTTTTTTTAGAAACATTTTATATTGTTTTCGTGGTTTTTTTTTCTTTTTTTGACATGACTATTCCGAATAAAGAAATAGTTTATTAATTCTAAAGATTGAAATTTTATAAATAAATATGTTATGAGTGGTTTTGAAATCTTTGTACTATATTATTACATAATATTGGAGAGCAAACATTTATTTTTGTTTCTTACTTTCATTCTTTAGACTGGTTTCTTAGGATCTATACTTTAAAGCCAATTGCAGAAATAAACTTAACTTAAACCGTGGGTTAGATTATCCTTTAAGTCATTTAATCTTCCTCTTTAGGCAAACAACTGTTCATTGTTAACTATTGGTGGGTGCATCAAAATCCGTAGTTTAGACCCGGATAGAGACAGACCTAAACCATAGCTTATGTTTATGACTCATTCCTACAACTGATCATAGATGTTTAAAAATACAATTTATATATTGTATACTTCTACATACCANGAATTAAATTTAAATTAACAAATGGGAATTTAGAATATATTGGACGAGGATTCATAAATGTCCATTTCAAGATGGCTTGACATTCTAGTGGCTCTAACATGTCAAAAGAATTTCCCCTCGACGTCAAAAACGATCATAAAAAAGTGATGAACGTTAAAGAAATTTATAAAAAAAAAATGGTTAAAAAAATATAACTTATATTTTACTTCCTTAAAATATTCAATTTTAGTGAATCATTTTTATATAAATTCGAATTTATATTAATATAAATGTTATCAATTAAATATTTTACAAAATTGGACTTATATTTTGCTTTTTAATGTTTTATTTGAAGCAAGAAATTCATATTTAATGCCTCTTAAAACCCCTACGGGGTTTTTATATAGTGATTTAATGTAGTAGAGTTGATTTGTATAGAAGTTTAGGACGATCAGTTGATTGTGTTGTACTAAACGAGAGGTACGAGAATTAGTTTACAAAAGTAGAAGATTTAATTTTAAATTTAAAAATCTTGAGAGTTGTTTTGTACAAGAGTTTCAAAAAAAATTGTTACGTAAAAATCAGAAAAGTCATTGTATAATGTTTGCTTTGTAAAACGTAAAAATCAACAATTACTTTGTGTAACGATTTACAAAACTGAAGAATTTCTTTGTACGATCATTTAAAATAGTTTAGCATTTCTTTGTATAATGATTGAAATAAATGTGTGTTACTTTTTACAATAGTTTAAAAGATCGTGAGTTATTTGTACAATGGTTTAAAAATAAAGATATTATTCTGTACATTTGTTTAAAAATTTTGACAGAAAATTTGTTTTATACGATGAGTTAAAAACCAGAAAATTGCTTTGTACAACTGTTTAAAAAATAAAGTTGTTTTGTACTGTACTTCAAAGCACCAGACGGTTACTTCCTATAATGGCTTAAAGAGAAATCTAATGAATTTATTTACTGTAATAATTTAAAAAAACAATCTCTTAAATTTATTTGCATGAAATTATAAATAAATCGAATTTTAAAGACGAAAATAAATTCTTTTCACACAATAAATAAAAAAAAGTTCAGCTTCTTTAAAATACTTTTAAAATATAATCATATTCATTTGAAAATTGAAATTGCATCCTTAAATTAAATTCAATTTTTAATTATTCGGTTTATTTATTCATTGTTTACTCGCAAAATACAATAAAAATTAATCAATTTGTAATTATTTTTTGTATTTAGTTTGAAAGTTTAATTTTATAAACGTTATTATAATCGTTTAAATTAATATAACATTTTATATTTATAAAAATATGTGTTTTACTATTAAAAGATAGTAGAAAAATGAGTACAGTCGACCCCCCTATAACACTGTTGATTTTTCCGTTTTATATGATTTCCATGTTGTACGAGTCACTTAGACTTTACAAATATGTGAGCCGTTCACAGCTCGGCACACGTATTTATAAAATCTAAGTGACTCGTATTGTTTAATGATAAACTATTTAAACTGAATGTCAAATAATATAAACAATTTTATTAAAGATAATAAATTTTTTATATTGTTTTGTATGAGTAGCAATTGACTTCTACAATATTTTCTTAATGAATTTTGACTATGAAGCTGTTTAATTGCATATATATGGCATTCAAATGAATGTATACATATTCAGCTTAAATAATTTACTGTAATATATTTAACTGAATTTCAAATATTAGCTATTAATAGCTGCTAAAATTTGAAATCTAATTAGAGAAAGACTTCAAGTATCATAACTGAAATTTTTATTAAAGATAATTAATATTTTCATATTATTTTATACATTTATATTCTACTTTTTTCTATATAGATTCCTTAAAAATTTGTATATGACTTTCTGTGTAAATTCATATTAAACTCTGCATCATATAATTTAAAAACTGACTTAACGGAAAAAATCAAAACTGCGTTTAATCAAAAATCTTTTAAGATAGATCCAGGTAATTGGAAAAGTCTATTCTCAGTGTGATATAGCTGTTACTTCGCCTTGTGCTTCACCAAACAGCTTCTTGCACTCGAAGTAAATTATCGCTGTCTCTCTGTTACGTTAGCTAACGAGGAGTCTCCTCAGATACAAGGATCCTTTACACATAACTCACAATAGCTCAAGTCTGATGAGACAAGATTAAAAGCGTCAAAATAGAGAGTCATTAAGTTTGTTTGAACAATTGCTTTAAACTGATATGGTTTGTTAATTAATTACTTTTGATTTGATAGTTTCTGAAGTTAAATGGATAATATTAATATTATTTTAGGCTCTTGATTTATATATCTATAATTTTTTTCTCATTTAATATAGAATGTATTTAACTACGATGTAAATTTTATTAAATTTCTGAAGCAATTCATGGAAATAACTGTATGATAGAAATGATTTGCAAATACATTTAATTATTCTGTTGTATATTTTAAAATACATAGATATTGTTTACACAATTAAATAGATTTTATCAATGATTTAATTTAACTTATTATAATGCTAGTGATTATTACGAGATTACAATATAGAGATATTATTATAAATTATATATATATATACAGTATATATATATATGAATCAATATTTTATGAAAATTTGATATCAATTTTCCAAGTTATTATTGAAGATATCAATTGTATAAAATATATAGTCATTAACAAAAGAATTATATTGATACTTAAAATTAATTTTTGTTTAAAAAAATCTAAAATACATTTTAATATAATAATAAATCATCAGTACACTAATCTATTTTCTGACAGGTTAGTAAAGAGACACGAGAAATAAAACTCTCACAAGCGATTTTTCATAAAATACATCGAATTTAAGTCCTATGTATATATATATAGGATTGGCCAGTCCAAAGGGATAATTTGGTGCTTCTATACAGTATATATATAATGTATATATAAAGAAGCACAAACATATATGTCCCTTTGGAGTAGCCAACCTATAAATTGCGAATTGATGGTTTATGATTTCATATAGAATCTTTGGATGTAAATTCGAAGATTAATTATGAAATCAATTTTGTTATTTTAGCAAGTTATGTTAAAATAACTTTTAAATATTTCATTCATAACACGAATGTAAATAAATTTTTCAGGAATATTCAAATACACCTTTCGGTGTTATAGAAGAACTTATCTTCAATATAATACGATACTCGCGACCCATCAGTTGAAAACTATAATAGAATAGAAAATAATTATTTTAAATAACAATTCTATAGAAAATTAGAGAGGATTATTTTCACTCTTTGAATGAAAATAATAGTTTCATTGCACGGAAATACTGATAAGGAGGATAATTATGAACAATAAATCTTTTAGGAAGTTCAGATTAAATTTCTGATGCGTTTAATCCATGATATGTTTATTTATTATTAGACTTATAAATGGTACTGCTAGTAATTTAAAAGCGACATTACAATAAAGATATCGATCGTGCTCAGCTGGCAAAGGAGAAGAGGGGTAAAGCAAAGACGTGCGAGGGGGGAAAAAGATTGTAAAACTTAAATGACATCTATGCTTCGGGTTATCTTTCGAAGAGATTCTATGTGCTCTTTAAATAAAAGAAATCCAAGAAAGTATATTAACCCTGATATTGCACTGTCACCAATAAGAATTGTACTCAATAGTTCTTTCAAAAAGTGAAGACCAAAATGGAAGAAGAGTAATCGAAACGGATATAGCATCTCCTTCTTCAGCTCCGACGAGCAACTTCTTAGGTCAGCATATAAAGGGGGAAAACAGAATTATTATTGGAAATTCAATATAGTGAGCCAGAATTTCTCAATCAATAATTTTCGCATTGAACATTTTTTCTTTTTAAGTTTTTAATACAAATATTGACAGAAACGACGGAAGACAGTTTATTGTAAATTTCCAACAAAGAAATATGAGAATGTTTTTAATAAAATGAATAGCCTATAATTAATTTTATTGTTTTTAAAAATTATTTAATAAATCTAATATAAGATAATTTGATTTTTGATGTGCATAATTATAAAATTTGGGCAGAAACGTAGCTTAAAAACTATGATAAAATCGAAATAAAATACGAAAAAGCAGAGTAAAATCGCTTAAAATTAAATTTTCTGATGATCAAACCAATCACTTTCCTCCTAATCGAATTGAATGATT